TACAACAGTGAGCGCAAGCTACATTAAAGTGATTATTAGGCTTTGAATATGGATATTTTTCTTACAAAAACGCATTGATTCGCTACAGGAGGCCTTTGTTCATCCCCCGGAGCCGTGTGAGACACTTTTTTTATGGATAGGTGATTTTTATTTAAGTTCTTTTGGACTGAAGCAATGTAACACCCGCTGAGTGCCATTAAACAGCTTGAAAGATCAAAGACAATTTGTAATATAACTCCGACTGGATTCGTCTGAAAGAAGAAAGTCATATACACCTAGGATGCCTTGGGGGTGAGTAAAACGCAGCCTAATTTTCATTTTTGGGTGAACTAACCCTTTAAGTACACTTTTAAAAAGTGCACTTTGTAATAATAATTTACATTTAGTCATTTAGCAGACGCTTTTATCCAAAGCGACTTACAAGTTAATAATATTAAAAAAAAAGTTCTTTTTAAAGTACTTTTTAAATCAATGTTTTGCCGTGTTTTAAAGAAGTACACTTTATTTTTAATTAAAGCACATGTAAAGTACATTTTAATTGCAGTGTGATATTCAATATTACATTTAAAGTTATATATTTTAAATGTATTCAACTGCAACTTCATCACTACAAATGTGTAATTACGGTACAAATATATTTAAATACATGACATACAAGTTTCAGTAGAAATATTGTCAGTACATTCAGAAATACATTTTAACCATATTTCAATAGAAATAATTGTGAAATTTTATAGATGTATATCTATATATTAAGTGGCTCAAAACAAGGACGCCTAAATTCAACTAATTACATTTAATATAAATTTAAACTATAATGCATTTTAATTTAATTGCTATTAAAATGCAATTATGTGTCCAAAAACATTACATTCAGTTCAAACTATGTTATTTGAAGTATTATTTTAAAGTATGCCAAAGTGTACTTCTTTTCACAAGGGGTTTAAGGTATGACTTTATTCTTCTGTAGAACACAAAATCAGATGTTTTAAAGAGCGTTCTTGCTGCTCTTTAAAAAAAACTGCACCAATTAACACTACTATTAACATAGCTCATATGATTTGTGTACTTTTTTTGTATATTTCTATAGCTTTTTATGAGAGACAGACTACAATTAACATCATTATTCACTTCAAAATAATACAGTTCAAAATAGTACTGTTCTATATAATACTGTAATTTTGGGGTGAAGTTTTTCTTAAAAAATTCATTCAAGTATATTTCAACAAATGTCTGTATGAGTCTGCTGGCTGCTTTGTAGTAGACAGAAAAAAGAAGAGCATTTAAATGTCTCTACTGCCACGACTACAAACTTAAAGAAAAAAATCAGTGAGTAGTACGAGTTACTTTGAGAGTCCTTTACCAATGTAAAAGATTCACAGCTCATAACTTTTAGCTGAGTTCATTATACTGCAGGAGCACTGGATGCCCTTTTTTTGGCAGTAAAATGATCTGCATGTTGTTTGGAGAATAGAGAATATGCACATTTTTTCACTGAATACAATGTTACACTTTTGTTAGAGATTAAAATTCTCTTTGGGGAGGGACTCTAAGAACTTGAATCCCTGAAGAGCCCAACAAAAAGCGTAGGAAAAGCTGACAAACAAACACTTGTTTGTGTGTGCGCAGGCATGGAGGAGGATTTGTCTTGGCTTCGACGGAGGAAAAAGCGAGCTGTAAGGGTTTGAGTGGGACGCAGATGATGCTGGATACAGGCCACAGAGTGATCCACTGCAGAGCAGAGCAAGAACACTGTCAATGGCACTCTATGCAAACCAGCACACATCCCATAATATCAGACAGATTGACTCAGACTTGTGCAATAGCAGCAGCAATAGTACTGGCACTTTTACTACACAAAGGTTGCATCCCAATTTGCATACTATCTATACTAGACTGTATTAATATATTCTACATTTTAGTAAATTAAAAACCGCATGCATGGATTTCAGAAATATGCATCCGTTCATGCTTTTTGGGTTAATGTTGCACACAAGCCGTGGCATTGCTGAGGAGGAGGAGTTCGTGACTCAACTTTTCAGTGTTAGAAAAATGCAGACAAAAGGTCAAAGCTGCCAGAGTACTTTTAAACGCATGAACGTAAAACATCAAGTAATTATGAATGAATTAGGTAATTTGTTAAATTCGTTAATTATTTGACTTAGTTTTATGAACTAGTAATATTTACTAATAATGGCGTGCAAAAGGTTTGGATTCATAGACATTTTTACGATTTTGAAAAAAGTGATGCTTCTGTTTATCAATGTAGCTATTATGGATCAATCAATCAGTTTTATTTGTCATGGCAAAACCCCATTTTGAAAGAAATAAATTCATATTTGTAGTCAGAAAGGACGCATTAAGTTGATCAAAAGACACAGTAAAGACATTATAATTTTACAGTACCAAAATTTTTTTATTTCAAATAAACAAACTTCCTATTCATCACAGAATCCTGAAATTGTGTCACAGTTTCCACAAAAAAAATATTAAACAGCACAACTGTTTGATAATAATAAGAGTTTCAAATCAACATATTAAAATTATTTCTGAAGGATAATGTGACACTAAAGACTGGAATAAATTACATTTTAAAATATATTAAAAAACAAACTTATTTAAAATTGTTATAATATTTCATCGTATTACTGTTTTGCTATATTTTTTATTAAATAAATGTAGGCACAAACTTTTGAACGGTAGTTTCTGCGCTTTTCCATCTCTATGAAAAACGGCATGCTTGCATTGTGCAGGAAGCAGCCAGTCTTGAGGCCATTAGTTAAATTAAAGCTCGTAAATTAAATAAGTATGTTGTAGAAGTATGTCAATTGGGATCCAGCCAAGAACTTTGATCCAGAACAATGCACATTCTTTCATCTCACAAAAGTAACAGCGGCCCATTATGAGGGTTTGTGATGTCTGAAAGTGCTTAGGACACTTTGATCTGTTTGTGAGGAGCATTCATGCAGCATCTGTAAAATGGGGAATAAGCTGAGCCATGTTTTTTGCTGTGTTGTCCTGTTTCTCTTCCAGATGCCAAGGAATGTGTTTGAGGAGATGAAGTACATTGAACTGATGATCGTCGTTGACCACAGCATGGTGTGTTTAAATGCTATTTGACAGTAATAGCACTGTATGTGAAAGTATCATTGGCCTTTCTGTGAAAACAAGTACTTTTTAGCATACTTTGAAAAAGAGTACTTATAATGAAAATAATATACTAAATTAGAATTGACTTGCAAGTGCAATATAATGTTTTCAGACACTTCATTGCATGATAATTGCTATTTTTTGACAGACTTCAGTATGACTTAAGTACATCTTTATATGTAATTCCATCATTTTATTGTTTTTGAAATATGGTTAAACTACAGCCAAATGTACTGACAAGCATTTACGATAAACTAAAATATACTTCAATACCATTTCTTTTGTACGTATTATACATTTATATACATACACACACATATATATACACACACACACACACACACATATATATATATATAAAGTATCATATGGTATCATATGGCAGATGGGAAAGTGTTCAGGAGACCTGTTTGAAATAATCATTATTTTTGGAGTTCAGTGTGTTGCAACTGGTGGTTCATAAATAAAACCCCTGGTAAAAAAAAAAAAAAGTCATATGCCGTAATTGATTTAAAATACATTTATTTCATACTAAGTATACTTCAAATCCATTAACATATTTATTGATTTATGTATCAATAAATGGGAATTATGGGACAGTTCACCTTTAATATTATTTATGGGTAGACAGGAAGTGAGTAAGAATGAGGGGATTGTTATAAACTAATTTTCTCCGCTCTTTCTATCTGTCTGATGGAAGATCTTTAAAGAACACCTGAACACGCGTGTGGTGCTGGTCGCTGTGGAGATCTGGACGGACAAGGATCACATTCCCGTTAGTGTGATTCCATTCGAAATGCTGCGAAACTTTTCCAAATACCGACAGCAGCACATCAGGCAGCACGCAGATGCAGTGCATCTGTTCTCGTGAGTTCATATCTGTTCATATTAACTGCTCACACACACACACACACACACACACTCACATGTGTGGAAGTCAAGTGTGCATAACAACCCTCTGTGTGTGTGTCTGCAGTAACGTGACGTTTCACTATGCTCGGAGCAGCCTAGCGTATTTTGGAGGGGTGTGTTCTGTCAGTCATGGGGTTGGTATCATTGAGGTGAGTGAATTACATGGAGATTGACTGACAGCAAACGTCCAACTCCTCAAAAAGATATCGAAAGGAAATGTTCTATATAGGAGTGAACACTACAGCTTATTTTACACAGTCACCTTACTCTCAGTGTACCAAAGTCACATAAAATGTCTACAAAAATTACATTAATATTCAAACGTTCGGGGTAGGTAAGATTTTTTAAAATGTTTTTGAGTCTCTCATGCTCACCAATACTGAATGAACTTTTTATAGAACAGTATAGAACTTTTATTATTATTAATATTGAAAACAGTTGTGCTGCTTCGTTTTTTGTGGAAATCATGATACTTTTTTCAGAATTCTATGCTGAATAGAAAATTCAAAAGAACAGTATTTATTTCAAATATAAATCTATTTGAAAAAATTATAAATGTCTTACTGTCACTTTTGGTCAGTTTAAAATGTCATTGCTGAATAAAAGTATTGATTTTATTCAACAAAAGGAAAGACAATCTTACTGACCCTAAACTATTTAATAGTGCATACAATTACTGAATGTAAGGCTATAATAACAATTTTCAACTTTTTACCATTGCATTTAATCATCCGAATGTACATTATGAAAATTATGACTCAAATCACATCATATATTGTACATCCTTGAAATCTAAATTGACCATTCTTATTTTTTTATTAATTTATAAAAGCATTTAATATTGCAAATTATTTATCCTTGCACTTAATTATTTTGACAATTAATCTCCCTCATAGTTGCTTAATCCCCTTGTGTGTGTGTGTGCGTGCGTGTGTGTGTGTGTAGTTTGGCTCTACGTGGACGATGGCACCACTGCTGGCCCAGAGTTTGGCTCAGAATCTTGGTATTCAATGGGATTCAGCATTAAAGAGAAGTACACACTCATTTAAAAGTCTTGCTTACGTAACTACTTTGATACTGACATACATAAAATATTAAGAAATGACTGATTGATTGTATGTGTGTGTGTGTGTGTGTGTGTGTTCTGTTATTCTCAGAGGATTGTGGGTGCATGAACTCCTGGCTGGGCTGTATCATGGAGGACACTGGGTAAGATGATCCACACATACATTTAGTGATATATAGGGATTGACAATGACAAGTCTATATAACGTATACTATCATTATGACTCCTGTATGTGTGTGTGTGTGTGTGTGTGCGCGCATTTTTGTGACAAATGAGGACATAAATTTCTATAATGACAAGGGTATGACATAGGTATTACAAGGAGAAGGAGACTTTTCAGGATATTAGCCCATGTCCCCACTTTTCAAAACGCTTATAAATCACACAGAGTGGAGTGTATTGAAAATCTGAAATAGCACAAAGTTTCCTGTAAGGGGTAGGTTTAGGGGTAGGGTTGGTGTAGGACAATAGAATATATGGTCTGTACAGTAGAAAAACCATTACGCCTATGGAGAGTCCCCACAAGGATAGCTGACCAGACATGTGTGTGTGTGTGT